AGAAGCTCTGGCTGGGCCTGATGTTGTGAAGAAAACAGTTGCTGTAAAAGACATCAGGAACACCGTACAGCACATCCAATAAAGCCTACGGTGTGCTTCACACATAGCAAACCTTTCCAGAGACACAGGAGAAACATTTAGGATGGAGTCATCTTGGTCCATTTTTTAAATCACAGTTTCTTGCTAAAACTATTAAATGCTTAAACTGCTTGTGAACTAATAAAAGGGAGAGGTTACTCCATGCCCTGACTGCAGTAGAGGGGCATGAAGGTGGGGAGCCGGAGGATGAGGGGAAGGAGGAACCGAGAGCTGGCATCCCGTGTTCATTCATTCTGCACGTGCTGGGACCCAGCAGTGAATAAGAAAGACAAGTTTTACACTTGTATTTCAGAAGGGGGAGTACGGACAATCAACAAAGAAAAAGATTATGTAAGGTTGACCTAAAGAAGCAAGCTGAGGAACAGAATATAATTTTAAAGAATTTACTTGAGCCAAGATGAGGAGAGCTGCCAGGAAGACTCAAACCTAAGTAACTTTGGGTATGAGCTCCGTTTGGCCTTTGTTACAAGCAGGTTTTTTTTTTTTTTTTTTTTTTTTTGAGACAGAGTCTCACTCTTTTCCCCGGGCTAGAGTGAGTGCCGTGGCGTCAGCCTAGCTCACAGCAACCTCACACTCCTGGGCTCAAGCAATCCTTCTGCCTCCCGAGTAGGTGGGACTACAGGCATGCGCCACCATGCCCGGCTAATTTTTTCTATATATTTTTAGCTGTCCAATTAATTTCTTTCCATTTTTGGTAGAGACGGGGGTCTCGCTCTTGCCCAGGCTGGTCTCGAACTCCTGAGCTCAAACAATCCGCCCGCCTCGGCCTCCCAGAGAGCTAGGATTACAGGCGTGAGCCACCGCGCCCTGCCACAAGCAGGTTTTTAAAGGCAAAGAGGGAGGACAAAGAGTGGGATGATACAGAGTTGTTTGTCAGGAATTATCATTGGTTTACAGAAATGACATTGATTAGTGACTGGCCATACATTGTTCTTTGTAGCACAAATTCCAGGACTGTGAAGATTATGGTGAGGGTCACACTGTGAAACTACAGATAAGGAAAGAAAGAACAAAATGCTATTAAACAATTGCCCCTGGGTATGGGGTGGGAGCATGATTGATGTATCATACTCTTATCTCTCTGGATCTGATAAATTTTACATTCCTCAAACTGCTCTGAGCTATTTTTCTTTCTCAGTGACAAGATGATGACAGAGCACAGTAGGATGATCTGATGGGAGTGAGGGGGCGATTGGGGCAGTGGTACTTTTTTAATAAATCAGGGAAGACCTCTGGGGCTAAGGCCTGAATGAGGAGAGGAAGCCAGCCTTATGAAGGTTGCAGGGGTGAAGAGAAAACTTCCCCTACATCTTCTGAAGGTTCATTGAAAATCACCTGACTAAAGGCACATTAATAGGAGAAAGGGCATGTAAATTTATTTGATTATAGTTTCATGTGACATGGGTGCCTTCAGAATGGAGACCCAAAGACACAGGGAAAAATGTCCATTTTTATGCTTAAGTTTAACAGATTATAGACAGCCATGTAGAAATATGATTGGACAAAAAGCGTATGATATGATGCTAGTAGAGTGAGTGTGGAAACCCAGCAAGGCCTGACTGTTCAGATTGTTCTTGGCCTTTTTGCGGTATTCTTTGCTTCTGCATATGGGGAAGGACGTCTGTGGAATGGGGGTCTTATGACCTAAAATCAGACAAAGTAGGTCAGAGAATTTCTTCATGGCCAGTTTCTACATGGAAAGTTGGGGGAAGGTTAGAGTTATATTTTTAGGTTTTATGGCTGGCTTTGGGGAAAGGGGTCTGGTTTCTATGATCTGCCTTGGGGAAGAGGGATTCTAGTTTCTATGGCTAGCCTGAGGGGAGAATGATGAGCCAGAGACAGGAGGGCAAGAGAAAGTGAGAGAGTCTTGCTTCAGAGGACTTCCTTTTGGAGTATTACTTTCTGAGCCCCAAAAAGGTCCATGGATAAAACATGCAGTTCTTCCTAGTGTAATGTATAAGTAAAAAAGCTTTTTAGTGGATTATTAAATTATAAAGTAGATTGATCTCACCTTTGTGAAACCCTGAAAGCAGTTTATCACCCCAAACCTGCGCATGTCTCTTCATTTAGTATTTCCTCATTTATAAATTTTTTTCTCCCTTAACCATTTTGTCTTAATATTCATTACTAACCACCCTTTTCTTGGGGTAGCGCTACTGTCCAGTGCATGAAGAGTGAGGGCAGTACTGCTAATACATACAAAACATGCCCACATCAACTAGAGCTTTGCTTTACTTTGGTGCAATTTTTGGAAAAAAGACCAAAAAAAAAAAAAAAAGAAAGATTCATTGCTATTACTTGTGATTTTAAAGAGAAAATGCATTACATGTGGTTTATACAAAGTCCAGGGCTATACTGGGGGTGGGGTGGAGCAATTAATAAATCTCCATCTAGGTGAATCTATCAAGTTAAGGTTTGGTCCTAGGATGGCTGAAGGTTTGCATTACAGCTTCACTTACAAGCAGTGTGACCTTGGGTAAGTGAGGACTTCTTTTGTGCCAAGGGGGATAATAGTACCCACTTCTTGTAGTTAGGATTAAATATGATAATGTCTGCAAAGCATTTAGCATGGTGCCCGGCACTACTATCAATAATTGTGCAAATGAGAAGCTACATAGGAACATGATGCTTATACTATTACAAGGATCGTCATAGTCTTCAGAACTAAGAACTGCCAGTAGGATTTCAGAATGGACATGAAAGTCACTGGGCATCACTGGCAACCTGAGGAAAAGGATTAAAAGGTCTATAGGAATGGAGAGATAAATGCAAGATAAAGAGAGAAGAAAAAAAGAAATCAAAGAGGCACAGACAGGTGGACCCTTGTAGAACACAGCTCACCCTAAAATAGTAATTGAGCCTGGTGTTGTACATTCTGTAAGGAATAATTTCTGCTATCGAAGGACTCACAGTCTTTTGAGTGAGATGGTCGTGTGAATAGAGCAAGGCAGTTATGACAGAGAAGGTACAGGTCCTTGGAAGCACAAAAGAGCAGCTAACCGAACTGAGAGTGGGGCTTAGGGCTTCAGAGTAAAGTAACAGAGTGGAGTCTTGAAGAATATCTGAGAGTTAGAAGGGTACAGGGTATGCACAGACATGAAGAGCCAGGGTGGAGAGACTAAAATTCTATATGGCTGAAAGTGGAGTGTGTGGTTGAGGCATGACATCAATCTGTTATTCAGTAACACTTCAGGTATTTGTTGAGGACCATCTACATGTCCAGAACTGTTGAACTATTTTAGGAAAGGATTTTGTAGGAAATAAAACAAAGACCCTCTTCACAGAAATATTATTATATTTTTATTATTTTGTAGAGACAGTGTCTATGTTGCCCAGGCTGGCACTGAACTCGGCCTCAAGCAATCCTCCTGCCTCAGCCTCCCCAAGTGCTGGGATTACAGGCATGAACCACCTTATCCAGCTGAAATGTTTTCTACAGAGGATACATGATAAAACAAGTACAAAACTAAGGAAACAAATAAATGAACAAGGAAGGTTCTGTGATGGAAATAAACCACAGGTAAAGTAACAGAGGAGGGGTGAGTGGAAAACCCAATTTAGATGGGGTTGTCAGGAAGACTTCTCTGAGGAGATGGTATTTCAGCTAAGTCCAAAGGATAAGATGGAGCTGGGGGGTAGAGCATTTAAGGTGGTTTCAAAGGCTCTCTGGCTGGAGGGTTAGAGATCAATCAATACTTGTTCCATGAACCTTTTAGTAGAGTGCTGAGGAGCACTGAACAAGGCAAAGCCTGTCTGCAAGGAGATACAGAACAGGTGACAAATTTGCCTACGGTGGCCTTCCACTTTGCAGACCAACGGTGGTGGGAGTACAGACATTTTGTCTTGCATCTTAGCCAGAACCTCATGGTAATTTCTGAATTTGGCTTAAACCAAGGATTCAAATTTACCTAAAACATCCTTTCCCTTTACATACCAAGGTGGAGATCTACAAGCTCACAGCCTCAGGTCGCAGAGCAAAGAAAATCTAGGTGATGAGGGGCGGTAACAGCGGCCCATATTGGGGCTTTGCACATAAAACAGGGATAAGGCCCGGAGTGAGTCTGGAGACGAGCTGATGAGAAGACATAAGGGATTCCACTAACATGGGCAAGAACCACAAAGTCCATGTGTTTTTATAGACCTCCAAGTAGTCGGTAAGCCTGGGGTCAGCACTGGTAACCTTGCCTGTAAAATGGGGGCAATAAAAATTCCTTGTCCCTTACTATTCTCAACAGCAAGAAACCTTAAAGGTAGACAAGAAAAGAGAAATCTGTTAAGTTCAGTGAAAGTCCTTGTTAGTCACCAAGGACTGCAGGATCTCTGCAGGGCACACTCGTATGTACAGAATCAAGCTCGATAGGGACGAATCACATCATTTAACACCAGCAGGGGCAGAGTGTCTAAGGAAGGGGGTTGTCCACTTGCAGTCTTGGGCCTGCGGGGGACTAGGATGGACTTCAGTGGCGCCGGAGTCGCAGGTAAGTTTCCCTGGGGAGTAGTCACCACTAAAAGAGCCACGACGTTTACAGAAGAGTCACTGTCCTGAGGTCTCGTCCACGGCCACGTTCTTAATGCTGAGAAAGTAACAGGTCTAACACCCCTTTCTTGGATGCGTGGGAGGGCAGAAAAATCCCTGGCACTGACCTAACGGTAGCGTAAGCACACCTGCCCTGGGTAGACAGCAGCCACACAGGTCTTCCCGTGACTACTCATACTTTACTGAGCGCCGCGCCGGAGCCCGTCGCCCGGGATTTGCGCGCCCGGTCGCGGAGCATTGTGGGGCTGGTAGTGCAGGCTGGGGCGCAGCTACGGGCCGCGGAGCCATAGAACTACATTTCCCAGAAAGCCCCGCGCAGCAGCGCGCCGGCCCTGTGCGTGCGCGACCAGACTTCCGGACGAGCCGGGGGCGGGACCGCAGTGGAGGCTGGAGGTAGGCATCGGGATGCAGCGCCCCGGGCCCTTCAGCACCCTCTACGGGCGGGTCCTGGCCCCGCTGCCCGGGCGGGCCGGGGGCGCGGCCTCTGGCGGAGGCGGCAACAGCTGGGGCCTCCCGGGCTCGCACGTGCAGCTGCCAGGGCGTGCACAGTCCGGGACCCGCGGCAGTGCTGGTAGCGCAAGCACCAGCGGCGGGGACTCCAGCAGCGTCTGCTCGGCCCCCTTCACGATGTCCAAGGCCGAGGAGGCCAAGAAGCTGGCTGGCCGCGCGGCCGTGGAGAACCACGTGAGGGTGAGCACCTCGGGGCATGGGGCGCCTGTTCGGTGCATGATGGGCTCCTGTTGCGCGCTCTGGGTACTGACCGAGCGCGCCTCGTTTCTGGCAGGGCGGGGGCTGCGTGAGAGGGGAGAGGGTGTGAACTTTACCTGAGTTTAGATCGCTCTTCCCTGCTCTTTAAAGGCCTTTTAGATGTAGAATCGGTTGGGGGCGAGTCCCCTAAAAGCTGAGATTTCTTAAAGACTCCTTGTCTGGCTGAAACAGTTTGCAAAGTGGAGCCTGGAGGTGTCTGACGTTTGGAGTGGGGGCTAGAGGTACCTTCCTTGTGGCCTCCTTACCAACAAATGGAAAAGGGTGAGCACGGGGGCTGCGGAGAGGTCTTCATTTTTCTTCACTCTTCCGGGAAGCCGCCAGAGAGCTGGTTTGTAAAGTGCTTTGAAATTGCGCTCCCAGTAGGTTCTTAGCTTCGTGCGCTCCCGCCCGAGTGATTCGCGGAGGGAAGGGCAGACCCGGGGGCTTTAAAGCTTCTCCCTTTGATTAGGCCGGGTGGACACTTGAAGTCTGGAGGATGTTTTTAATGTGGGGCTGCAGAGATGTTTTAGCTGTTACTCAGTGAGGTGGTGGCCTCCTTTTGTTAAGTGACGGGTGTGGTGCTGTTAGTGGAGTCTTTTAACCCAAGTGGGTTTGCTGTCTGTCACCAATCAAGTCAGTTATCTTAATTATAAGACACAGAAGCCAAGTGGAGTATTTCTGCCCTGTGGTGGAGTTTCCTTGGCCTCGTTGGCTTTTTGTGTCTCTACTTCTTAGAAAGTGGCATCAGATTTCCTTTTCTTCTCTAATGATAGTTCTTTACATTTGTTGATAATTTATTATAGAAAGTTATTTTGCATAGATGATGTCGTTTGAGCCTCCTTCACCACAGCCTGGTTGAAGTGGAAGGTACTAGTGTGGTAACCTGTTGCTCAGAAGGTCTGTATAATGGGTGGCCAAGTGGAGCCACTCCTGTTCCAGTGCCCTTTTACCTTTTCCACTGCTGTGTTCTGGTGTAGCTTGTTGCAGTCTGGGTAGCAATAGGATTTTCTATGGGAATTAACAGAGATAATGTAAAATGTGTAATTTGGCCTTAAGTTTGGAATTTAGTTCCTCAGTTATAAAATTGGGACAATAAGCTGACATTTCAAAATACCTCCATAAAGTGAATAGTTAATAGATGGGTAAATGAAATCTATACAGTTAGAAAAGCCCCATATCTAAGTTGTCCTGTTAGTGTATTTACATTGCTATTTGGTGACACACATCTCCCTGACCGTTGTTTTATAGTTGTGTATTTGGTTAAATAAAAATCTGCAAGACCGCACCTCAGGTAGAGCCCCAAAACACTGGATTCCAGCCACATCATTCCATGAAGTTATCAGGTGATCCTGGGGAGATCTCTGTTGGCCTGTTGAAATCATATATGTCCCTCTGGGTTTGTTTAAAAGGCCATTTCCTCCTTTCAGTTTTTTCTTAGCTTCCTAATGAGAGGAACATTTCTCCTCTGTGACTGTGTAGCACTTTATACAAGTTAATGTTGATGTCTTATATTCTAGTCATCTGTGGTTCTCTCCCAACTGCCTAAAGGGCATGCTCCTGGAGGATAGTTAACTTTATCTTCATTCAGTGTTGGCCACAGTGGGGCCTGCCCTGTTTGTTCAATTGTGTGGCATGTAGACACAACTATGCAGGTTGTGAGGTTATTGGAGGCCCTTTGCTTAGAATCCCTCAGGAGTAGGGTTTCCATTCCCCTTGCCCTTTGGTGTTCCATTGTGGTGACCACTTCTGTGTCTGCGTGGTTGGAGAACTTGGAGAATTCTTAGCTGAAGTTTGTTTTACAGAGTAGTCAAGTGAAGCAGTGGGAGTGGAGAAGGAACAAAGGAATCTGTAACTGGTTGTGATCAATTAGTTGTAAACACCACTGTACTTGGACCAGCCTCAGCTGAAGTTTTTGTATAGTCACCCTGGGCCCAGTTCTGCCTCTTTCTGAGGGTGTAGCCACCCAGGATGGGTCACCATGCAGGACTATGCTCTCCTGAAGGTCTGGAGCCTCATCCCTTTGTTTTCTTTGGAGCCTAGCCTTTGTTTTGTGACTGGCTTAGTTTGAAGAAGCTGGTGGGTAGTGGTTCTAGTTGGTCATCAGAACTAGAATTTCCAAAGTTACTCCATTGGACAAGATGGATGAAGTTCTGATGTAAACACATACACGTGGTTTAGTATTGCCCATTAGAATGGGACTGCTCCTCTAGCAGGGCCTGTTTGGCAGTCTTCTGCTGTTGGGTCATCTTGTGGGCAGCCTTTGGTCACCTCTGGCTGGCTTTGGCAAGGGCACTGATTCCTAGGCCAGTCATTTGATTCCAAAGTGGCAGGATCACATGGTTCAAGAGTTTTCGAACTGGCAGGCCCCTGCAATTCCTAGTCTCTTCCAAAAGCCAAAAGAGGAATCTTGTACAGAGCTGGTCTGATTCACCCAAGTTCATCTGTGTGCCACCTGCCTTCATGGAGTCTGAATGACATGAGTGTTTGGCTAAGCTTAGTAATGAGGGCTCTGGCAGTTGAATTACTGTATAGCTGGAGGTCTCAGTTTCAGGTTAAGTGTGAAGGTCGGGTTAAGTCTACCTAGTGTGATATTATGATATGAGAGAGATACATATATATCTTTTCATCCATGGTCTGTGACTCATGACTTACATAGCCCTTATTTCAGTCTTTTTTTTTTATAATGTTGGGGTGCTTTAGGCCTCAGAAGCAGGCCTCAGAAAACAATTTCTCTCCCTTATCTTCTGCTCTCCTTTTGCCTGCTGCTTTCTCTCCCCAAGGCAGAAATCTTCCCTTGCCTTTCTGTTTTGGAGCTGCCCATAAAGAAATTCTCTGACTTACCTTGTCTGACTGAGGTCATAAGACCCCCATTTCACAAGGGGTTCCATTCCATCCTTGGGAGGAAGGAATGCTGTACAGAGAGGCCACAAAGAATCTGAACAGACAGGCCTTGCTGGGTTTCCCCACTCAGTCAGTATTAGATCATACCCTTTTTGCCCAATCACATTTCTACGTGGTTGTCCATTCTTCGATTATGCCTATCCAGTGAAGTCTCCATAAAAGGCTCAAGAGGATTAGGTAGGAGAGCTTCCGGGTAGCTGAACATGTGGGGGTTCCTGGAGGGTGGCGCATCTGAGGAGGGCATGGAAACTCCGCACCCCTTCCCTCATACCTCACCTTATGTATCTTTTTATCTGCATCCTTTGTATTAAACTGGTAAATTTTAGTGTTTCCCTGAGTTCTGTGAGCTACTCTAGCAAATTATTCAAACCCAAATAGAAAGTGCGGGAACCCCAACTTGAAGCTGGTGAGTCAGAAGTTCTGAGGCCCCAACTTGTGACTGGTGGGAAGGAGGTGGTGGTCTTGTGGTGGAGCCCTTAACCTGTGACACCATCTCCAGGTAGATAGTGTTAGAACTGAATTGGAGATACCTAGTGGGGGTCTGCTGCAGATTTGATTGCTTGCTTGGTATGTGGGGAGAAACCCGCACATATTTTGTCTTAGAAGTCTTCTGCGTTGATGATTGTTGTGGTGTAAGACCAAAGGGAAACCAGTTTGAGTTTTTCCACACTCAGACCTAGTCATTTTCTCATTTTTTGAAGATTTTTATATGGCTTTTAAAAAATTTTATTTACTTTTTATTTTTTAATAGGGGCCATGCTAATCTTTTCTATATCATTCCAGTTTTAGTATATGTACTGCTGAAGTGAGCATGAAGATTTTTATGTGTTGAGATATTTTTACCATTTTGAATGTTTTTGTGTTGTGATATACCACTTACTTGTCTTGAAGTCCTTACCTTTGGGGTTTGCCCAGACAGTTAAATTACTTTATTAGGTGTGTTACTTTCTTGAGGGCAGCGTCACAGGTGGAAGCCGACCTAGTGCAAGCTCCACCCTGATGGCCCAAGCCTCTTAGTGTATTTGGTGACTTTGGAACTGCAAACTGGTGCAGGTGGTTTCCTCTAGGTCAGTAATGCAGAAGTTGATGGATAAAGTCTTCTGTAGGTAGAAGCCCAGGTATAGAAGCATTATTAGAGTACAAGTGTGTGGTTGTAGGACATTAGCATTTGATTTGTGGGAGAGGAGTAACTCTTTCTAATGCCTACTCTTTTCTAGTTTCAGATGTGGTCTAACTTTGAGAAGGACTATATCAAATGTAGGGCCCAGGGGCTGACCTTGGGTATTCCAGTGGCCTTTGTCCTGTGAGGAATGAAGGGTTTAACTGTGGCCCTATTTGTCCTGAGGGACCTTTAGGACTTTTCTTACTTCTACAAAGGAAGTTATAGTGTGGGCTTTCCCTTGCCAAATTAATTCATTGTTAATCAGTTGTTGGAACTCTTAGGAAATTTGAAATGAAATGATGTTTCAGTGAATTGAACTTCCTGAACTTGCTTATTCAAAGTGAGTCTGTGTGTGTGTGTGAGACATTAATATTGTTAACAGATGATTTTTTTTAAACAAAGGTAAAATCATGATACACATAAAATGAACATATGTCAAATGTTTTATTTAACTAACTAAATTAATGAGAGAACTGGAAGAGGTGTAGAACCTGTTCACTGGTGTCTTTGTTTTGTGCTGCTGTAACCGAATACCTGAGACTGAGTAATTTATAATTTGGTTCACAGTTCTGGAGGTGAGAGAGAGGTTGATTGGTGCCATGGGTGGTGCCATGAGTTTGGAACCCTCCTAGCCCAATCACCTCTTGAAAGTCCCACCTTTTAATACTGTCACGGTGGCAATTAAATTTCAACATGAGTTTTGGAGGGAGCAAGCATTCAAACTATAGCAACAGGAGAAGTTAAAGAAGCATACATTCGTATGCAGTCAAGAAATGTTAAAATGAATTTACAAGATCAGTTTATAGGATAATAATCAATTACATCTCACAGAACAAAATTAATTTGCATTTCTATGGACAAGAATTGTTTGCTTTGTTAATTAACAGTTTTCTATGAATTAAAGTGTATCTCTACAGAGTTGTCAAATAGCCTAATCAATGACAAAGGGTCAGAAGATACTAAGAGGTTTCAACATTACATTGAAAAAATAACCGGTAATCTCTCTTACTCAGCTCAGAGTCTTAAATTTTTCCTTAACAATGTTGAATTCGTCTCTAAAGTGGGGATAGTGGGTCTCTGGATCATAAGAGAGTATTGTGAGATTTGACTTTATATTAACATTTATGTGTCTTCTTGGTAGGTGCTTAATAAATGGTAGCTGCTACTTTGGTTTTTAGTTGTTTTGCCTTATTCTGGCAGGAGATGGATCTCAGGAAGTTGCTTAGGAACTGAACTCCATGTTAGTTCCTAACTGTTAGTTCCTGGCCTTGTTTTGCTCTAAATGACTCGGCCGAGCCCTTACTCTGCCCCTACTCTGCTCATAGGTACCTTCTCTCTTTCTTAAGATAGGCTCAGTATTGTGAAGCCTGTTTCTTGTCCTTTGTATTCAGGAAGTGCTCTACATCTATTATAGATCCTTCCTGTTGTGAGTAAAGACTATTTCTCACTAAGCCTTTGCCCTCTTCCCGTTTTTCTCTGAGGCAGACTTGTGCAAAACGGGGGCCCCTTGGCATCAACTGGACATACGCTGAAGTGATTCACTATTTGAGGCTACTTCAGACCCTCCCCTATTCTGGTGACTTTGGGAGAGCTCTAGATGGTGGGCCTGATGTGTCCCTGAGGTTTCCTGTTGTCAATGGAAAAGAAGACAAACTCTGTAAAATAATTTAAAGAGGTTTATCGTGAGCCAAATTTAAGGACCATGACCTGGAGTCAAGGCCAAGAAGCCTTGAGCAAGTAGACTAACTGTGGTTGGGTTACAATTTGGCTTTATACATTTTGGAGAGACTGGAATTACGGGTAGAGTCATAAATCAGTACATGGAAGGCAGACATTGGTTTGGCCCGAAAAGGTGGGCCATCTGAAAGGGTGGAGGGCTTACAGGTTATAGGTGGGTTTAAAGACTCTTTGACTTGTAATTGGTTAAAAAATGAAGCTTTGTCTAAAGGCTTGGAATGTTTTAAGTTAAGATAAGGAAGTCTGTTAATCAGAGACAAGCTACTGGCTATGTATTTGTTGTGTAAATTGAGGACCTGCAGGTTTATCTTGCATAGCCTTAGGCCTGTCAATACAAAGGATACCTACAAGAAGGGAGCTGGGTGTGAGGGGGCGTGATGAGGTGTCTGACCTCTCTTCTTATGGCCAGCAAATCAGTTTTAGTGTATCCTCTTGGCCAAGAGAGGGTCCATTCAGTCAGCTGGTGAGGTGCGGGAGTGTTAGAATTTTATTTTAGTTAACACTGTGATGCCACCAGTTTGAAGGTGCCCGTGGTCAGTCCCCTGGCTTCTAGATGTTAAACTTGTGTGAGAAGGCACTGAAGCCGGAAACCACAGCTTTCTGCCCTTACCTAGGCTCTGTTGTTTTTTCCTAGGGCCTTTTCTTTCCGATTACTTCCCTGGGGGGTTGGCCAGGAATCTTTGAAGTGTTTATCTGCAGAACCTTTCTGTGAGATTGACTTAGTTGCTATGCAGTTGTAAGTAATTGAGCCAATCATTTTGTCTGGTAGTATGTGGGGAGGAAATGGTGATGTTGGCAGTGTGGGAAATGAAGGGAGAAGGGCCCTGTTGATTAATTGCCCACTAGGCATTGGGATAAAGTACAGCTTTGAGGTTCAGTGGTTGTTTCTGTAAAAATAGACACAGTACCTACCTTGCACCTGTGTTGGTGAATTGCTATTAATAATAATAATTTTATAGTTCTAGAAAGTGGGCTGACGAGGGAGTAAAATATATTATTGATAAGTTTTGTTTTTTCTTCCCTTTTTTTGGCAGAATAACCAAGTGCTGGGAATTGGAAGTGGTTCTACGATTGTCCATGCTGTGCAGCGAATAGGTATGTTCTTGGACTGTGTACTGGATGTTTTGTGTATGATGATGGGATGGGGAAGTAGAGAAGAGGGAGGACATGGGGCACAGGTTTGGCACTTGCCCATCTTGGCTTTAGCAGTGCAGAGCTGGGGAGAAGAGATACCTGCCTGAGGTCATTTGAATGTTTGTTTTTTTGTGGGGAGAGGGATTCTTAGACCTCTTCAACTAACTTTGGAGAATGCCTTTGCCTTTGTTTATTCTGCTCAGCTGGAGAGGAGGAGCTGACTTTGCAGGAAGTCCCAACATAATTTTAATCATTTTGATAGCATGTTCCCATCAGGGGTCCTGTGTGTGATCTCAGACTTTTTCAGAAAAACAAATCGAGGTCAGAGTAGGTTTGCCTTGACCATGACCCTGTAGTAGATGCTGCATTGGTGCTTGGTTCCTGCAGGTATTTATTTTACTCGGATTAGGGTGTTTCTGTGCTTAGGAAAGGCTCAGGAATTATCAGCGCCTGTGACTGCTCAACAGGTTTTACTGCCCTGCTCTTTGTTTGTAAGAACAAAACCCAGAGGAGAGGCTTGTCTGAATGCTGATCTCTCTTTCTAGGTGTCAAAGGGCAGGGCCCAGGAGGCAGAGTCCCAGAACACTTTGTCATTAAGGAATGGTTGTACGGCAGGTGCGATGGCTTCTTTCCCTGAAGCCTTCTCATTGGCCAAATAGGAGCTTTAGTGTTACACACCTATCTTAACTGAGTGTGTGGAGAATTTTGGGGCACAGGAATTACTGTGGATTTTATAATACTGGCATCTGAACCTCCCAAGATGTACTTAGTGATTACAAGGACATGAAATTTTGGTAAGACAATTTTTTCTTTAAGACTTTTTTTTTTTTAATCAAACCTTCCTGGAAGGTACAAATTCAAAATAAATAAACCCCCTTTAAGTAATCTCTGGGACCTACAAATGATTGTGTTTTTTACTAAAAATGCAAAAGTGAAGTTCTAGCTTTTCCCTGGAAGTGGCAATAAAGGGTAGTTAAGACTGTGGAGCTAGACTGCTCAGGATCATATCCCAGCTCTGCCACTTACTAGCTACGTAACTACCAAGTTACTTTACCTCTCTGTGCCTCAGTTTCCTCATCTGTAAAATGGGGGAAATAATTATAACTGACAACCCCAAATAAGTGACTGAGGCAAAGATCTCAATCAGTGGAGGTTTATTAAGTCAATATTTGAGGATGAGCCCAGGAAAAACACAAACCACATATAAATCTATGACTTTTTCTGAAGGGGAATTTGGAAACTTCAGTATTTAAAGGGGATAGGGGCATACGGAAAGAAAAAGGAGCAGTGGGGTGGGCAGTGGGGCAAAATGGTTACATTTTTGTAAGGCCCAGGAAACCTACATTTTACATAAGATAAGGTGATAGTTAGAACAGAAAAAGGGAGTGAAGGAAGCATCAGTTATGTAGATATCCCTGGGTGGATGGAAGAATGGGAATGTTTCATCTTACCTCTCTTCTGCTCCCGGAAAGATAAACTTGTAGTTCATTATTAGCATGGATTGAACACATTATTATTTTCTTACTTAAAAGATTTGTTAGTAGAACAAACTTTAGTTTTAGGAACTAGACTTGGCCTGCAGACCTAAAGTTATAATTTGCATATTCTTGCTTATGGGAGGCCAGCAAGGAATTTTCTTATGAATAATAGGTGAGGGTGAGGGCAGTCCTTGTAGTTACCTTTCCTGGGGTGCTGGCTGATGCATAGTGTTAGTAACAGCTATTCCTTTGGAAGAGGGTGTTGGGTGACTCAGCCTCCAGGCTAGATCTTGCCTTTTGCATAAGTAGTTGGTAGAGGGTGGTCCTGAAATTTTTATTTTCCTTCATATAACTTACCTTTTGGGTTAGTAGGATTAAAAGAATTCATATATGCAAAGTTCTTAGAATATTGCCAAGTACATGATAATAACAAACTGACACTGCTCTTTCTGTGGTTAGTGCTTGCCTCCCTAGGCTTTCTGGTGTCCAGTGTCCCTGTCTTCTGATGTGTAAAGTGTGGTCACCAGCTTTTTCACCAAGGACAGGGACACAGAATGAAAGGCAACTGTCAGTGGGAGATAGACCTTTCCCTTTCTGTTGGATTTCAGCAAACACACATATGACAAGGAGAATAAAATGAAGACAATGAAAACCACCAATATGGCTTTTGTCTCCACAGCTGAAAGAGTGAAACAAGAGAATCTGAACCTCGTCTGTATTCCCACTTCCTTCCAGGTATGTCCTGCTTTCCATCCTGCATCTTGACAGCTGCTGCTGAATCTTCTAGTTCCCTAAGGACGTGGACTTGTGGCTTTGTGTTGCAACTCAGGGTTGTTGTAGGTGAGAGCCAGGAGTAAGAGAGGAGTTTATTGACCAAGGATTGCTCCTTGGAAGTGTGTTTTTAGGTACATTCCTTTATTCATTCAGTGAATATTTCAGTGCATCTTGAGTTCAGACAACATGGAGCATGCAGAGACGACCATGTGGTGTCTACCCTCAAGGAATATTAGCCTCATTTATAGGTGAGAATGAGGCTAAAAGGAATTAAGTGATGTGTTAGTAACATAGGCATAGTATTTTGATTCTGTATCTAATGCTCTTTCATTATAAAATACGAGCTGGTGAAGGAAAGCAGTGGAGCCAGTTAAATATAGGCAAAGATAAGGAAAGAGTAGACTTTGGAAAGTAGACAGGAAGAGAGGTGCTCAGATAAGGCCATCTCCCATCCCTCATGTGTCCATTGCAGGGAGGGATATGTGTATAATCTCTAGTTGAGTTAGTCAAGGTGATATTATGAACTGGAATAGCAGGTTGACTTGTGGGTGGCTGATCCTCCTGGGATTTTATACACTTAGGTTTGGACAGCCAGGTTTTCTTAGAAAACTCTCCCATTGGTGGCCCAGAATACTGGCAGCTGGCAGCCAGCTCTGGTGAAGGGAGAGAGTGTTTGGTAAGGTTTCTTCTGTAGCCTGACAGAGCAGGAAGTAGAGGCAGGGATTCCAGGTAGACAGTTTAGAGAGTTAGGACAGTACATGCTCTTGGAGCTTCTTTCATGTTAAATCTCTTGGGGACCCTGAGCAAGGTTGGTGGGTACCCAGGGACTGAAGGCAGTATCTTAAGTGGATTTGCATTTCTTCTTTTTTCTTTGAAATGCTGCTGTTTTGAGGAGACACTTTTAAAGTCAGAGTGGCTTGTGGGTTTTCTTACTCTTTGAAATCTAAGTAGCTAATTTTTCCAAGTGACTGATTATCAAGTATTTTTATTTCTTAGTTAATAAATTGTTTGATATTGGTGTTTATTTTAATTTTATTGTTTTATGTCAGAGGTGGGATTTGAAGGTGTTTAATTAAAGTGATGCATGCACATAGTTGAAGAAATATTATTCAAGTCTTTTTATCTAGAAAATAACAAAAAAATAAAGAAGATACTCCGCTCACCTCTCCAACCCCTGACCACACCATTTCTTGGTCTTTAGATGCATATTCTTTTAGTTGATTGGATATTTGCCCCAATATCTTGAAACTATATGCTTTTCTTGCTATTTTTTATTTTTCTTGACTTTGTCAGCCCAAAAGTTTAAAATAACAAGCATAATAGACTTAAAGAAATCAAAGTTAATTTTATTTGTGCCAAGTTTGAGGACTATAGCCCAAGAACACAGACTCAGCATGAACTGAGAATGTGTCTAGGAGTGGGTTACGTGAGGCTCAATATTTATGTTTTGCTACATAGAGAATGGGAGAAAGGGGCAGTGAAGCAAAGGTGACATTCTTAAGATTCTGATTGGTGCTCACTGACTTTATACATAGATAAAGTAAATCTGTGGTTAACATGTATGGTAAAAAGTTAACAAGTATGTAGGCAGCTTAGGGTCTGGAGAGAGGTGATCAATTGCATCCTGCCTTTACGCTTCATCTGATGGGCAGGGTTACGGTCAGTACATGTCTGTGAGATACTTGACAGACTCCAGCCGTGCAGGCGAGAGTTTAGCTTTAGTTCATAGGCCTCGTTTCTATTACCTATTATGTCCAACCTGCAGCCATTTGGGCTGCTTTTAACATTTTTCTTTCAGATTTTCCTTTTTCTCACAATTTCCCTTTTTTGGTCGAAATCTTCCAAAGGAGGACTTTGAAGACCAAATAATATAATATGAGTGACTTGAAGACAACTGATCCATTTTTTAGAATTACAAGGTGTATTGGATCAAATTGGAGTTCTGAAATGCTTTTGTTCTGTTCTTCACCCCATAAGAAGTGTTACCATTGGTTTGTCAGGGAGGATGCAGAGGCTCCTGTATTGCCTTTCAGAATGCAGAAGGCTCTTATTTTATGCTAATGTCTCCTCATTTCACAGAGAAATGAGATCAGTGCAATTGTGATTATTCCTTAGGAGTCTTACTCAGATGTGACGGTGCACGTTGTATGGTCAAATTGATGAACTACAATAACATAATTTTGGCTGGAGTTAATATTCTTTTGGTGACATTTGCAGTTTTTACAGTATTTGTAACATTTGTAACATAGAAATATTAGAAAAATAATGCTATGAACAACTGAGAGGAACACTGAGGTAAACAGTGAGGAAAAACAACAACATATCATAGAAAAGAACCCTGAATATACATTTTTATAGTCTGCGACTAATTGAATATTTCCTCCCCTTGTTGGTTTGTATTTGCACCTTATGTTATCTTTGACTGGATTCATTTAGAACTGTAATTAGCTGATGATTTATTTTCTGCTTGGAGTACAACTTCAGGAGAGTTGAGTTCCAATTTTGAAAATATCTGATTATCAATGTCCTCGTTGTCATTAGTGTTATTTTATCCTAAAAGCAACTTTCTTGTGAACCCAGTATTGTACCAAATGGCAATATAATTTAAATCAAATATTATCTGTTTGCAAGTAAGATCTAAAATGGTTACAGGTTCGTTTTTCTTCCCTTTCCAACAAAAGAATTCTTTCGACATAAACCATATATTATTTTGAACAGGGATAGAGATTAGGGACCGTGTTTCTGTGATTTCAGGATTCTAAATGTTTTAGGAACAGTAATTGGACTTTAAGTATTATTATTTAATATGGCCCATCAAGTGCCCATTGAGAGAATATGGGTATTGTTAAAAATAATCCCCATTCCTACTAACTGTAGTACGTTGTATGTGTGGTTACTATATATATGTGTGGTAAGAGTACAGCTACATACTCTGGTAGTAATTTTCAAGGAAGAAGAGGGTCCATATGTTTTTCCGTAAATGTATACTTTGTGATTCTGCATCCAAAATGGTTGTCCATCATTTAGAGACTACTTCTGCCACGATTTTGGTTAGCATGGTCGATAAACGTTGAGTTTGGATGTTTGATCTAACGCTAATAGACTGAGTGGGGAAACCCAGCAAGGCCTGTCTGTTCAGATTGTTCTTGGCCTTTTGGCAGCATTGCTTCCTTCTGGATATGGAGCAGGACCCTAGTTAAACAAGGTAGGTGAGATAATTTCTTTATGGCCAGTTTTTACACAGAAAGTTGGGGGAAAGTTAGGTAATATTTTTAGGTTTTATGGCTGGCTTTAGGGAAAAGCTTTTCTGGTTCATACAACCCGCCTTGGGAAGAGGGATTCTTTTGAGTCACTGCACTTTAATACACTTTCAAATTGAAAGTGTAGTTTATTCTATCTCAAACAAGAAGCAGTACAATTAAAGTATGTGCCTAAACTGTTAACACAGTTTTACCATCTTAATGGTAGCTTGTTTATGCCAGCAGTGAAGAAGCCTGGAGAGTGAGTGGTGTTGAAATTGAGAAAGGCGTTTTCCACAACTTGTTGAGAACTGAATATTTTTTCTTGCAAGAAGTATTCCAAAGCCTGAAAGACGTGGTAGTCAGTTGGTGCGAGGTCTGATGAATATGGTGGATGACAAGAGTTTACAAGTCCAGCTGCTGTAGTTTGAGCAGCGTTGTTTGTGCAACATGTGGTTGAGTGTTGTCTTACGAGAGGATTGGCCTGTCTCTGTTGAGCAGTCTCAGCTGCTTAATCTTAAGCATCCTCATTTCATCCAATTGGTTGCAATAGACATCTGCTGTAATCGATTGATCAGGTTGCATGAAGCTATAGTGCATAATACCTGCTCTGGGCCACCAAACCGACACTATTAACTTTTTTAAATGAATATTTGGGTTCAGACTGTGTTTTGGCACTTCATCTTTATCCAACCATTGTGCTGAACGCTCGCGATTGTCAAAAGGAATCCATTTTTTATCACACATAACAATATGGTGTAGAAATGGCTCACCATTGTCATGACAGCAAAGAAAGGCAAGCTTCAAGATGGCTTGTCTTCTGACACTCATTTAATTCACACAGAATCCACCTATCCAGCTTCTTTACCTTGCCAATTTGTTTCAAATGGTCCAGTGTTGTTGAAATAGTAACATCCAGCCTTGCTGCTAATTCACATGTAGGTTGAGATGGATTCGTTTCCACTACAGCTTTTAGCTCATCGTTATCTACCTTGGTCTCAGGTCGCCCATGTAGCTCATTTTTAAGATTAAAATCACCGGAAGGGAGCTTTTCAAACCACTGACGTACTGTGCATTCATTAGCCACATCCTTCCCAACCACTTTGTTGATATTTCAAGCTGTCTGCGTTGCATCAGTTCCACAATGGAACTCATATTCGAAAATAACACGAATTTTTTACTTATCCATGGTTTCACAAAAATTGCTGTTAAAAACATATGAAAGATAATCATAAGCTAAACTGTGCATTTGAAAGAATGAGGATGTACTTTCACAATAAAAATGAAACAAAAAGTGTCAAAGTGCCATGTCAGAGATGCCAACTGTCAAACTTAGTACTTACGAAAATTGGACATTTCATACTTAACAACCTAATAGTTTCTGTGGCTAGCCTTGGGGGAGAATGAGTGGCCAGAGACAGGAGAGCAAAAGGTCAGAGAAAAACTTTTGCTTCTGAGGCCTTCATTTTGCAGTACATTTTCTGAGCCCCAACAATTTCACACCCTACTTTTTAAACAAGTAAATCTATAGGGATTTAAATGATTTTGGGTAGATTTGCCCTTTAAAATTAAAGGCTTTTGAAGAAGAAAATAAAGCATTTGAAAGCCAGATCTGGTCTTTTAAGCCAAAACCAGAATTTATTGCTCATTCTGCCTTCAGTCCTATCTTCATTAGGTAGTAGAAAGGAAAATGTAAAGAGTTTTCAGATTTTGTTGTGAAATTTATGAAAAACAGAAGGACTGCTAGCCTGCCACATGCCACTTGTCTCTAATCACTGACATTCGGGGGCACCAGCTGTGAGATGGCGATGAGAAAGCATTGCTTCCTGTCTTTTTTCAGAAGCACAAGCTCATCATTAGCTTTCCTGCTTCCTGCATTTTCCAGAGCTCTGGCTGGAAGAGGCAGACCAGTTTGCTCCACATCCTCAGGAGGCCTCTTAGCTTGCCAGCTGGAAGCTTCTGGTATCTAGCAGGTGCTGATCTCAGTCGAGCACTGGGGGCCTGCATGTGCTTGCTGACTGAGCCAGTGATGGGTCAGAACCCCCATGGCAGGGCTGCTGTGTTGAACTCAGTGTATTAGCTTGCTAAGGTTGCCATAACAAGGTTCTACAAGCTAAGTGTAGCTTAAAAAACAAATTCATTGTCTCACAGTTCTGGAGACTAAAAGTAAAAGTTTTATTTTCTCATAGTCTGGAGGCTAAAAGGCCAAGAAATCAAGATGGTGGTAGGGGCTGGATATAGTAGTTCATGACTGTAATCCTAGCACTTTGGGAGGCTGAGGTGGGAGGGATTGCTTGAGGCCAGGAGTTTGAGACCAGCCTGGGCAACATACTGAGACTGCCATCTCTACCAAAAATTAAAAAGAAAAAATTGGCCGGGTGTGGTGATGCCTGTTGTCCTAGCTACTTGAAAGGCTGAGGCAGGAGGATCGCTTGAGCCTAGCCCAGGAGTTGGAGGTTGCAGTGAGCTATGTTCATGCCACTGCACTCCAGCCTGGGCAACAGAGAGAGACTCTGTCTTAAAAAAATAAATAAATAAAAGGGTGATAGTGGAGTTGGTTCTTTCTGAGACTGTCAATGAAAATCTGTTCTATGCCTTTCTCCTCCTGGCTTTTGGCGGGTTGCTGGCAACCTTTAATGTTCCTTGGCTTACAGGTTCATCACCCTAATCTCTGCCTTCATGTTCACGTGGTGTTCTCCCTGTGTACCTGTCTGTGTCAAAATTTCCCTTTTTAAAGGACACCAGTCATATTTGATTAGGGCTCACTCATTTTAACTTGATTACCTCTTTAAAGACCCCATCTCCAAAAACGGTCACATTCTGAGGTACCGGGGGCTAGGACTCCAACATGTCTCTTTTGGGGGAAACAATTCAACCCATAATATTCAGGAAGAACGAGGCTCATGGCATTTGTGATTACAACTTCTCTGTATAGCAGCAGAGCCACTCAAAGGGGTCCTGTGGGGAGTCGAGTCAAAGGTGGGAAGAAGGGAGAGTTGGGATACCTGCTGATGGGAGTGGGCTTAAAGTGTTCCACCTCAGGGAGACCTTGAGGTCATTGTACAGGGGCCCAGACTTCAGTTTC